GTTCCTTGAGTGGCCTTCACCTCCACTTAGTGAAGAGAGTCAACCTAGAAGCACCCAAAACACCATCCTTCCACATCTCTCATATTCGCCTAAATCAACCCATTTACGCCCACCTTCCTTTTGCCTCACCCTTGAAGGAACATCCACCCTTAAGGTCATCATTTTGGCCTTAGCAAGGAGATTCTTCCCACCTTGGACGTCCATGATCAACCCCTTGGTGGAAGGAGTCCATCATGGGTTTAGATTGGCTATATCTAGGTGCATGATAAGACCATGCAACCTTTGCCCTCCACTTGGGCCTAAGCCTTTCTAACACCAAAAATAGACCCAATGACACCAAAAAAACATGCATCACCCTCTAATTAACACCCTAGCCCAAAATTAAAAACCTAATTATCTAGAGCACCCCATAATACAAAGGCAAAATGGGAAATACAAGGAAAATAAATTCTAAGTCCTAAGAACCCCAAAATACAAGGGTAAAATAGGAATTTAAAGATAAGGGCAAAAATAGGAATAAAAATAAATGCTATAAAAACTTAGGAGCTAAGGCCCAAAAGTAGGCTTACTCCTCCTATTGTTTTTCAACACTAACCCATTCCTCTTGCTTCCTTCAATATATCACCTCTTGGTCTTCTTGGCCTTAGTGTTATTCCATCAAGACCCCTCTCCACTTGGTTTTTAAGTGAGACAAAATTTGGGCTTCTCAATTTTGGGACTTTTCTCCACATAGGAAGGGAGCCCAATATCCAACAAGAGCATATGTTGTTAATCAAAGCATGTATTTCTACTTTAGTAGTCAGAGCATATATGATCAAATTATATGAATCTACTATAGATGCTTTATGAAATGCATAGGAGACTCTCCCTGAAAATATGCATGATCTAATGAATAAAATCAATTAAAGCATATGGTTTAGAGGAAAATATAATCAATTAAAGCAAAAACAAATGCTTGAAACTATAGAGAATAAAACTTCATAAAATTTTAAAAAATAAATCAAAGCAAAAACAAAAACTTTTCACTTTCCCCTTTTTGACACCAGCAAAAGCTAGTCCAAGGCATCATCTTCATCAAAGCTCAGGTTAATGTTGAGGTGAGACAATAGCTTGTCAAACTTCCTTTAAATACATGCTCTCCTCCTCAGTGTATAGTGTAGAGTTCAGTAGAGATCGATGATCACTTTTTCGTGGTCCTCTTTAGTTGAAAGTGGAGGGAGAAATGGGGTGGATGGTGGTGAATAAGTATATAGAGTAGATGGTCTTAAGGGGTCTGGAAGCCTAATCATTTTTTTGTACAGAAAGATTATATTCCTAGGTAGAAATATATGAAAAGTGATGTTGTAAAGGGAATAATATTTGCATATGCACTATTTGACAAAAAAGAGCATTGAGTGGCATAGGCTCGACCCTGAAAGGAAGAAAATAGACAATAAGGAATCGAACCAAGGCTAAAGGTAGTCGTTTAGGCTTGTCACCAGTAGGATAGAAAGACAGGGATGTGTGATGACGTGCATATCGATCATGGAGTTTGTCAAGCTTATATTGTGGCAACATCTCCTTGCCTTTGCAAACAAAGTGAAGAGTAGACTTGAAAACAATGTCTTGCGTGTAGATCTTTGTTGATGGTTGAACCATCCATAATATGTATGGCTCTCTAAGCGCAAAAGAAAAGGTTGTGAGAAACATCTTCTTTAGATAATTCAAGAGTAGCTCTTGAATTCAGAATGTTCTACATCTCGGTTTGCTCCTGCTTGACAATGTGCATGGTCTAACCATCCAACCAAGGAGGGAAATTCAAGTTGATCTCTCTTCTTATAGGTTGCATCTTAATAATGGGGCAAATGACAATACCGAGTTCATTACTAAGACATAATCCCTCATACTCGTGAAAGTTGTAAAGGAAGCAACGTCTATTGGTGTCGTAGATAGGCAGAGTCCAGTCATCATTTGACAATTGCTCTTCCAACAAACGCTCTATTTCTCGTGCTTCTTAAAAGTTTGTGCACTTGTCAGGAGACTCAACCATATCAGATGAAGGTACCACAAAAGTGAAATCCTTATGGACTTTATGATCTGATTCCACCATAGAATAATCAACATTGAGGGGTGTCACATTGAAGATTACCTTAGTGGAGGCGTTTGTATCAAAGGCTGCACACATAGGTTCCACCAAGTTTGGGAACTATTGTGCCATAAACATGTTAGATGGTGCAGGAAATGCCAAACTTGGGGCTTTAACTCATATTTTACTTTAAATTTTAACAATTTAACTGTTAAATTATAATATTTTAATATATAAATCATGTTTACATTAATATTTCCTCTTCCCTTATTCCAGCTCTCATTAAGTACAACTCCATCTTTTGTCTATACTCACTACAAGAATTTATGTTTTTAACTGGGGTTATTTAACTGGGGTTATTCTAACCCCTGGAAACGTGGACATCACCAAAACAATGTCCCCATGTCACACACTGCTTCTTTCACTGAGCTTCTCACTGGTGGGATTGGGAGCACAGCAACCACAAGTCCTAATGGATCATCAGTTCATCAGATCCATGATGAGGCCAATCTATTCAACAAGGGAAGGCAACATTGGTCCTCAACAGTGACTCCTAGTCCTATGGACTACTTCAGCTCAGGCCTCTTGGTTTCATCTGCAAGAACAGCACAACACCAATATGCCCTTCCATTCAGTGGAGGAGACCAGATGCAGCATTTCTCCTTCATGTCTGACCATCTTAACATGCCAGCTATGGTTACTTCTTCTCAGCCTCAGCCTAGCGGGGGTGACTACAACCTCAACTTCAGCATCTCTAATGGTTACAATAGGGGGACCCTTCAGTCCAATTCTCCGTCCTTTTTGCCTCACCTCCAGAGGTTTCAAACCATAGACGGATCATCCAATATACCTTTCTTTATAGGAGCTCCTGCTTCTGCTTCTGCTTCTCCAACCATGGACCATCACCAGCTTCAGTTCTCACCTGTCTTCGATGGAACCAGACATTCTGACCACAAGGGCAAAGGCAAGAACTAAGTTCCTCGCATGGTAATACAAAAGTAAACCTACGCCTTTCATCTTTCTTTTTTGATTAGTATAATGTAGACCATTGTTATTGTTTATGCTTTGCTTGGTGTCTAGCTAGTTAATTTGGTTAATTTTATTTATTTATTTTCTCTTCCATTCATATATATATATATATGTATATGCTTTGGCTTTGCCCTTGGTAAACCTAGCTACGGATATATAGAAGATAAATATTTAATGTGTGTGAATATGAGTGAGAGTGTGTTTTGTTTTATATATTTAAATTTAATTTGAAAGAGGATGGTCATGGATTAGTGTGCTGTGTGCGATACCAGGAGCTAGCCGCTTGCTTTCTTGGTAAGCATAAATAAGTTGGGCAGTGAGCATATATAGTTTTATGGGATGCCATCTGTTTTTTTTTTTTCGTCTTTTACTAGTTGAGTGGTGGTGCATGGATTGGCGTGAATAGGGTTTCCACTGTTGTCTCCTTTTTTGTTCTCTCCTTGGCTCCCTTTCTCTCTGGCATCGGTGAGTCTGTGCCATGTGTAAGTTAGGGAAGGTATTAAGCACCCCTACAACGCCCTCAATCTGTACCCTATGATAAAGTTAACATAATAAGAATTAATAAATTAAATATTGAATCCCCTTTATTAATATTTACATGCTTAAAATATAAATTAAGTGATTAACCCTAAAATATCTACATTATGACGTTTATTATAACAAAAAAAAGAGATAAAGATGAGAAATAAAAGGAAGAGAAGAAGATTGACTGAAATACCTCTTGAACAAGCTTTATTGAATCTTCAAATATGGAGAAGGTGCTTTGTGGCGACCTTTCACACTACAGTATGCCTCACAGATCTCAAGAAATACAATAGGAAGGAGAGAGAATATAGAGATGCGACACAAATCTCAAGAAATATAATAGAAGGGAGAGAGATAGAGAATTTTTGTGCTCAAAGAAGTCTTATTCGAAATTTCTCTAGTTGCCTTGAGAACTGTGCCCAAGATTTCAATTTATAGGCATCAGATGTGGGTCGGAACGGCCCGTTCTGGATTCGGAACGACCCGTTCCGGATCCGAATGTTATGTTCAAACTACGCACCCTGGAACGACCCGTTCTGAAAACGGAACGACCTGTTCCAGAGTGGAAATTAACACAAATTTGTCCTTTCCAGAACGGCCCGTTCCAAATTTGACTTGTTTGGAACGGCCCGTTCTGGTATTGTATCTTTAGGTGTTTTACTACTAGAAGTGATAGCATTTTCATTTTTTTCTTTTTCTTTTTCTTGACCTTTGCTAGAGTTTTTAGAAGAGTCATATTTAGAAAAGTGACCCTCCCTCTTGTAATCCTTCTTGACATAAGAATTAGATTGAGTTTTGTTTCTTAAAGGAATTTTTTCTCAAATGCTGTTGTTCCACCTTTATATAAAGTTGGACCAAATCATCAAGGTCCCTATAAGGGAGTAACTCAACTCTATCTCTTATGTCAAAATTAAGTCCACTTAAAAACCTAGCAATGGTCAATCTTTCCTCTTCCCTTATTCCAGCTCTCATTAAGTACAACTCCATCTTTTGTCTATACTCACTACAAGAATTTATGTTTTTAACTGGGGTTATTTAACTGGGGTTATTCTAACCCCTGGAAACGTAAACACTTACGGGGGTTTTAATAACCCTATTTAAATTATAGGGGTTTGATTTCAAACCCGGGAAAGTGCCAAGTGTTTTTTAGAAACCCTTTGTAACATTATTTTAATTAATTAAAATTTTATTGTTTTTTAATTCCCTCCAATTATTTCCTTTCCCTCTTTTTTGGAGTATACAGAGACTACCTTTTAGTTTTCTTTTTCTTTTTCACAAGCACAAATTAAAATTGCAATTACGAGGCTTTTATTTGATAATAAGGAATTTGAGTTTGGTGAACGCGCTTGTCTGGAATTTTCTTTTTCATAACCCTAGATGTTTTGAACCTTTCCTTGAGGCACTTCTTGTTCTTGAGAGAGGTATAGCGCATACCATTTTTGAGATCGACGTCAAGCGTGTAGCATCTTGAACCTTTCAATCCGTGTTGATGATGGCTTTCACAACCTGAAGGTAATTTTATTGGTTTGGTCTCGGTGAGTCTATTTTTCTATTTTCCAATAGAAGGGTTTGTTTGTTGAATGTTCTGGCGTCTTGTTTTTTTGTGTCTTTTGCTTAATATTGTTTTGCTCATCATGGATTCTGTTATAATTTTTAATAAATTTGAGATTGAGTACCTTGACTTGAGTGCAGGAAAAAACTATTCACAAGAACTAAAGGTAGGGCACGCCAAAGCTAGGACTGGAACTCTCCAATAGTAGTAACTCACCAGAGTATGTAAATGTGTTTGATTAAATACTCCTTTATAGTTTTTAATAATATTGATTTTTCTAAAAAGAACAAGATCCCGACGTCAAGCGTGTAGCATCTTGAACCTTTCAATCCGTGTTGATGATGGCTTTCACAACCTGAAGGTAATTTTATTGGTTTGGTCTCGGTGAGTCTATTTTTCTATTTTCCAATAGAAGGCCAGATATTCATAAAAGAGGAGCGGAATATTAATATTAATATATATATCACGGGTACAATATACTAGAGTATATTATCTCAATTTTTATATGGTGTAGTTAATTATGGGTAGTTGACTTTGTCCGCGTTTAGCCCGTGTCTGGTTAGTTCCTGAACCAACAAATACGACTGAATTTAATACGAGTAATTAAGTGGGGTTAATTTTAACTCGTGTGGTATTCTTTTGTAAAACATTTATATTTAGACATGAATGAAGTTTGTGCATAGGGTGACTCTTGAACTTAGTTGGCATACATCGCAATCAATCTCTTGGTCTTACTCTCACTGTCTGTCCCACTCAACAGCTTCGTCCTCCCTCTTACTTTCGCAATCTCTGCTTAATTCTAAAGTCCACACACACTGCCAAACACACAAAACTTAGCCGACAAGGATCAAACCATCAACCTCCATTTCGGGGAGAAAGATAACTTACCACTGCACAAGACAAATAATATATATATATAGAGAGAAATAATATATATATATATATGTAAATTTTTAAAATATTTAAAAATTATTTGATACTTCATTTCATTAATTCAAATTGATAGATAATTATAAAATTATTTTATACATTGATTTGAATTAATGAAAGAAGTATCAAATAGTTTTTAATTTTTTTAAAAATTTATATATTTAACATTAAGAATTTTAAATTCAACGGTTGAATCATTAAAATTTGATATAGAATAAATATAAACGGATCCCTTACTTCATTTAATAACTCATGTTCTAAATCAAATTTCAACGATCTAAATTTTTAATATATAAATTAAGTCTGTATATTTTTAAAAAATTTAAAAATCATTTAATATTTTATTTTATTAATTCAGATTGATGTATAATCATAAAAATATTTTATACATTGATTTAAATTAATGAAAAGAAGTATTAAATAATTTTTAAATTTTTTAAAAATTTTCAAACTAAACCTAAAAACTTTAAATTCAACGACTAAATCGTTGAAATTTAATGTAAAATATGAATTATTAAACGGAATAAATTCATATAAACTTACTCCTGAAATAAATAAATCATTTCTATACATATGAGGAGAGAGGAGAGGTTTAATGATTAAATTATTAAAATTTAAATATCCCTTTATTTGCTTATTTTGATAATTTTAGGCGAATCATAAAATAGAACATGAATTTGGATTCTCATCGCTGAAAAGTTGGGGGGCATAAACATAGTGAATGATATAAGGAACATTATCCTTGGTATCTCCTTTTTTTTCCTTGGTTGATTCACCAGAAGACTTGACTTCTTTATCTTTGTTATCATCTTTTTTCTTGGTTGATTCACCATGATCCTTCTCTTTGGTGCTTTCTGAAGAAGACTTCCCTTCCTCTTTCCCCTTCTTCTCTTCCTTTATGGAAATTATCTCAGAATTTTTATGCCCCTTTTTTCTCAAAAATGACATCAATTTCTCCACTTCAATGGTACCTTCAACTGTCACACTTTGGGCTTTCTGGTCGGTTTTAACATTGAAAATACCTACATTTCATCAAATCAAACTTATTATTAATTTGCTTGTTTGCTTAGATGGAAGGATTCAAGCATCATATTATAAATCCACCACTTGGTTAATTATTTACCTTTGTGCTTTATTAATCTACTCTTTAGGTCAGCCTCACATTTGTCACAATGCATGTGAACCTTCAAAGAGATAATGCGGATAATTGGCTTGCAATCACACATGAAAATAATTAGTTGCCGTATATATAGACTCAAAAAATTTTCAAATATGAATTGAATGGTAGATTGTTTTGCTACTATACTTTTATTATAATGGTCGCTTTTATCTAACTAACTTAGATTTTTTTAAGTAATTTAATCAAAATAAGTTTTGAAAGTTTTTACATTTTTATTTAATTACAAATTGTTATGTAGAATAAATTTGACTTTTATAGTTATTACTTTAAAACTTATATGAAAGATGATTTTTTATTAGTTGAGAATATAAAAATATTTATACTAACAATGCATGACAATTAATCTCTTTAAAAAGGGCTTGAACTAACTCACTTTTAATTATGTATCGACTCCATTTTTTTTATAGAGGAGGGAAACAAGTTATTCTAATAATAATCTTTAAAAAAAAAATTACTCTCTATCTTAATTTTTTTTTTAATCTAACACTTCTAATTAGAAACTCATCATTGATTATTAAATTAAAAGAGATGAATTGGATAAACAAAAAATTAAAAGAGATGAAAGGTATGGATGTGGAGTAACTCTTTTGAAGAATTATTCAAGTAATAACTCTTTTAATCTAATAGTTCTAATGAATAAGTCATCTTTGAATGTTAGATTAAAAGGAAGAAGAAAAAAAAGATAAGAAATGTAGAGTAACTATTATTTTAAAGTTACTTTAGGAGTAATCCTACATCTTCCCACTTTATTTTTTTGTAATCTAACGATTCTAATAAATAAATTTTTTTAATTGTTAGATTAAGAAAAAGTAACTCTTGGAAGTACTTAGCATTCTTCAAAAGATTTTTATATTATCAATTAATTTGAAATGATTTTCTTTTACTGCAATAACTACAAAATCAACAATAATTTTATCTTTTTCACGCTCGAATATATATATATATATATATATATATATATATAAAAAACAGAATGCCCTGTAGAAGTTGGGACAAACATCAACCAATTACAGTCAAACATTTAGCGCAGCAGCATCAACTTCAGATGTCCTTTACCTTCCTATCAAACATGAAAGGCCCGTAATTTACACGACCCATGTTTTCAACCTACAAAAGGGGGGAAGAGAGGATTCAACTAAGTTCATGTATGACATCTTGATCTACATAACTTCTAATCATAAATACTCAACTATATAACTAAGTAAGAAGTTAATTAATAAATAATGTCAACTTAAATAGATTTGAAATGTACCAGTTCAGCAACTAATTTCTGATATTGACGATGCTATTATTAGCCACAATATTTAATTACCATGACTCGCTTTACAACTAGAAATAAATAAGGAAAAAAAAAAATATATATATATATATATAATAAAATTATTAAGTTTTTAATTGTTTATTTAGTACAACTCTCACAAAAGTAACAAAAAAAATAAAAATAAAAAGCGTACATCTAATAAATCTAATCGTAAAAGTATAGTTGCATTTTTTTTCTGACCTATTTATTATTTCATTACTAAAAGTATAGGTTGGACGAGTAGATATTTAGATAGATGTCCTAATCAATGTATTTTGGTTTTTCAAAGGGAAAATTAAATAATTGGTATGAACATGGAATTTGGTGTGAATGGAAAAAAAAATGTCTTTTATTGATTGAAAGTTAAATCTACGAAAGGAGGATATTGATGTTCTCATCACAAACCTTGAAATTTATGCTATAGTCGAAATCTTTATCCATCTCTTAGGAGTGTAAATGGGTACAATTTGACTCATGAACATGATCGATTCAACTAAATCCGATTATAATTTTCAGTAATTTGGGTTGAATCAATAGTTCAATTTGAATCTGTTTGGCCTAATCCAATAATAGTTTATTCTAATATTAGGTTAATGAATTTTAAAATCGACTAATGTGACTTCTCTCAACTTATGTCTTTTATTAAAAAAAAACTTAATTTATATGTCTAATAATAATAATAATAATTAGTATAGACAATTTTATAAATGAAAAACTAAAAAATAAATCTAACTTTTTCGATTTGCACCTTAAATTTTAAAGTTTCTCTTACTTTTTTAAATTTAAAAGGTATAATTTAATTTTAATTTATAAAAAATTATTTATTTTACTATTTAATTTAATTTTCTATAAATGATCTAAGTGATATATTATCCAGAAGATAGACTGCTAGATACGCATGAATTAATAATATTAACTTATTGTAAACAATATAAAAAATAAACACCTTATAATTAAATGATCAAATAATAATACTTTTCTTATAGTAAATTAATATATATTTATTTGGACAACTTACTATAGTTATTAACTTATTTACAAGCTCTTATCATAAAGTAATTATTATGCCCCCAACATAATTCTTAGCAAGTATTTCTCCATTTCAAATATCTCATTAATATTCATAATTTTATTTTATTTCTTTTTCTTATCATATCACCTCACCATATTTTATCTACCCAGAATCCCTCTTTCTTTTTATTTTATTTTTAATAGATGTGAATTAGACTTTTAGCATCCACTAGTAAGGTTTGAAATTTAAAATTTGAGTCACTAGATTTCAGGCATTATTTAATGCGTGTAATGGAAATTTTAATTCATACATTACCCCCGAACTAGTGTAATTTTAGACAGTGATGTTTAATTTGAGTATGAAATCTGACAAAGAAAAATCGTTGACTTGACGATGTAAAATAAGTCTTTTATTTTTTTTATTTATTTGATAAAGATGTAAAATAAGTTATATCTAATTATTTTGACTTTGGATTATATAATTCCGTTGGACTATCTCTTTCTTCTAACTATCTCTTTCTTCTAACTATCTCTATTTGAACGCACAATGTTCAAACTCCTTTTGGCACGCATGAAAAAATATATATATTTCTCCCTCTATCTCTCCATAATGGGATATGACTAAAAGTTATCTTTTATAAAATTATTTCTTTATAAATTTCTTTTTCATCAAATTATTGAATAATACAATGAATGAATTAATGATTAAAATAATAAAAAAAATTCTAGTATGATTTTAAAAAATTCTATTGTAATACTGGTCAAAAGAATTATATTGAGATTGTAATCAAACAAAAATTAGAAAATTTTGTTATTGCAAGTTCTGTGTATTTTTTTGGTGTGTGTGAATAATGGGCTCCAAGCCCAAATCATAAAGAAAAAAGTAATCAACAAAGAAATGCACAGCAACTAAATAAACGGAAGAAGAAAAAAAACTTCTCCTTTTCAAACTTTAGTTACATACTTACACCTTCCTTGATAAACTACATTTTATATTATTGTCTTATTTTCTTGGAACGTTCAATTTTTTTAAAAAAAAATGCTCAATGTTTATTCAATTGTAAAATTATGAATCTCTATGATTAAAAGAAATGAAATTTTCTCTACACTAGGCTCAAGTATGTCTTAATTTATCCGTATATATATATATATATATAAAAGTAGAATTACTTACATCTTTGATTTCCTTTGGCTTTGTATCCGTAGTAGTATTCTCTTTAGGCTTCACTTTTGGTGATATTAATTCAACTTTTTTGTTGCTCTTCTTCTCTATAAGCTTCAAAATTTTCAAAGGGTCTATTTTCCCCTTTGCTTTAATTTCTCCCTTCTCAAATTCTATGTCCACACTTTGTACCCCTATAAAAAAATCACCATGACATAAAATTATAAACTCTGTTCATTGATGCACAAAATTCAGATGGATACATAAAATTTCATGAAATTAAAGAAATTAAATTACATTAAAGTATATAGACCAACAAGACATCTATCTAAATTAATTTGAATTTGAACTTTTTAAGTAAGATTTCATGTTGAATATTATGTATAGATAAAATATAATTGGAAGAAAAGATCTACTCAAAGTGATTAGTCAAATTTTTTTTATAAAAATAATATATCGAAAAATTTGATACATATTTTATAAATATCAGACAATGCAGACAAAAAAATCTATTAGAGTATGTTCATATACCTTCGGTAATCATGAGATGCCTCTTGATCTTGTTCCCACATTCCTTGCAATGCAGGTTAACTTTGTAAATAGCTGTGATCACTTCAATCTCTTTCTTCTTTTCTTCTTTTGCCATTCTCTATTGTGCAAAGTGAAGGCTTGGAGAGAGTGAAAGATACAGTTAATAAAAAGAATGGATCAAGATCACTTCATGGTTACATTGAAATTATAAAACTACCAAGTTTTATTAATAAGATTCAATTTCTTTGTTGGTTTAGCTAATGGGGTAGCTCACCAGTTTCATGAAACTTGCTCACATGAATGATAGAATCTTGTACGTTTCACCCAAATGGGCAAATACAGTTCAGGATGTTGAAAGTTTCATAACTGTTGAAGTTTGCATGCATAGAATATAAAAAGGTTAATTATATCAATTACTTCTTAACTTAAAAGTTAATTACACCTATATTTATGTTTTTGTATGAACAAGTTAACTAAGGTTTTTAAATTACACTTGCAGTTACGTTACAATTTCGTCGTTATCTTTAACGTTGTGAAAAATTACGTACAAATAAAGCTTGTAATTAATTGCATTTGTAATGATTCCAAAAAACTGACTGAATTTGTTAAAAATCTTGTAATTTAACTGCTCTTTAATTTTTTTTAAAATTTTTATTCTTATACTATGATGACTCCCAATTTTTAATTGAAAATTAAAATCTTACTTTTTTAATATATAAATAAAGTCATACCCATTCCATGTGTTACTGTATAACTTTCTCTTAGCCAAATACAAATAATCATTAAAATAATAAAAAAAATAGGTTTGATTTTCTAAACAAAAATGGTTGAGTTTTAATTACACTAACCTTACAAGATGTTGATATAATTATCTTCAAAAATTAAATATTCGGTGTTTTTGTTTTTTAAAAAAAAAAGTTCCCTAAGTGAGGGAAACATTGAATGAAATGTTACGCCAATTTTTTTATTTTTATTTTTATTTTTTATTTTTTTTTTTAATTTTGTACCTCAAAATAATCACGAGATTGTTTAGTGACTAAAATTCATGTAAAGTTTAGATAATTAAGAGACAATTATCATATTTTTTATGGAAAAAATACTTCACCCCTTAAACTTTACCTCTTTTACAAATATACACTATAAACTTTAATTTTATCTCATTTGATCTTTAATTTTATCATATTAACAAATAGATATAATGAATTTTAATTGTGTTATAATTTTTTTCTTAAACTCTAGTGATTTTGAAGACAAATTACCCTTTTCAATTTTTTCTTAATTAATTCTTAAAACGTATTCCTTTTATAATAGTGATTTTTTCATATTATATTAAAATTAAAATACTACAAAAGAAGAAATATCAATCATTTATTTATTTTAAATCAAATTTATTTATTAGTTATATTTTATATACCACTTTTCTATATTAAAACACAATAAAAGTTAGAATTTAAAAATCAAATAATTTTTATTTATTTATTTTAGTACTGGTCTCTTCTTTTTATTTCTTATTTCATATTTTTATAATATTTAAAAAATAATTGTAACAAAAGAAGAAAAAAAAAAGATTAACGAGTGATTAATATTTAATATAAATAATTTAAATTTAATTGATTTAAAAAATATTTATAAAAATCATAAATTGTAAATAACAATAAGAATGAAATTAAAGTTAAAGATGTTTATTTGAAAAGAAAAAAGTTTCAAGATTAATTAGAATAAAATTAAAATTTATGATAGATATTTATAAAAAGAGTAAAATTTAATACAATTGAATAATCATTACCTTATTTTATTCCTAAGTTACAAAAGGAATATCACATTATATCAAATTGCATAACCCACTTTTTCTTTTTATTGAAAAATTACTATATATAAACTCACTTTTATTAAAAAGGTTAATATTTTATAATTCACTAATATAATTGTATAGGGGAATGCTAATGTACTCTCACCTATTTTTTAGTGGGAGTATGTTAGCAACCTACACCAATTTTTTAGGACAAAAAAATCACTCATTTATTTTGATTTGGTTAATTCGTACAAAGGATATTATAGTAATTTAATTTAATTTTAAATGAAAACAAAATATTTTCTCTCTCTTATTAATTTCATTCTCTAAATCATTTCTCTCTTATTAAATTTCTTCTCCAACTCATTTCTCTTTCTTATTAAATTATTTCTCTAACTTATTTATCTCTCCTATTAAATTCTTTCTTTAACTCATTTCTCTTTCATCTCTCATGGTGTCTTCCTCCTCTCTCTCTGAACAAATAAAAATTTATTAATAGAAAAAATAAATGAATTGGAGAATGAAATTAATAAGAGAGAGAAAATATTTTTATTTTCATTTAAAATTAAATTAAATTACTATAATATCCTTTGTACGAATTAACCAAATCAAAATAAATGAGTGGTTTTTTTGTCCTAAAAAATTGGTGTAGGTTGCTAACATACTCCCACTAAAAAATAGGTGGGAGTACATTAGCATTCCCCAAAAAAAAAATATATGATATATATATATATATATATATATATATATATATATATATAAATAGGATAAAGTTAAGGATTAATTAAAATAAAATTAAAAATTAGGATGTTTATTTGTAAAAAAAATGTAAGATTTAGTTGAATTGGAAAGTCTTTTCCTTTTATTTTTTATTAATAAGGAACTAAATCAATGTCAGTGTTCTCTATCTTTAAAAATTAAATAAATGTTACTTATAATTATATTTCAAGTATTCAATTGATTTCATGATACGCCCTATGAATTCATGTACAAACAAAAAAAAAATCTAAAATTTTGGATATAAAATATAAACAAATTCTAACTAACTTGATCATATTTAATGCTTTTATTTCAAAATTTAACCTTAAATTAAATGTAATTAATATTTTTAATAAATACTATTAAAAGTGGTTTAGGAAGTAATTTTTTTTTATATTTAATCAATAAAATTAAATAAACTTAACTAATTTTCTTAATATGTGTGAATTTTTACATTTAGAGGGAGTTTCATTCTAAGGATTAAAACAATTATTTTCACTTTTAATTAATTAACAACCACCAAATTATTCTATGTAGTTTAATCCACTTTTTGAATTGGTTGCTGCTTTCTTGACCCCACCATGATGCAAATACTAGCAATAAAGGTTGTATTTGGAAGAATTTGAGGAATAAAGGAAAAGGATTGATTTCCATGACAAGATCCACGAATATATATCATTTAATGTTATTTTCAACACTTTAATGAAGACTTGAGTTCAATTTAAAAATATCATGACAAACTCAAATTTACATCATCAAAAAGAAATATTAATGAGTTGAAGTTCAATTGGTTTTTGGGTTAAATACTTGCTTGAGCTCATTTTTTAATTATTAATGTAATCTTTATATTATTTTTATTTAAATAATTCATATGTTTTTTCATACTGTTTGAATCAGCTTTTAGTGTTTTTAAAGTTCTTAACCCATAATGATAGTTAATGAGATAATAGAGAGTCAATTCCAGTAAAAATTAAGTATTAATGAGAATTTATTCTTAAGTAGAGTGTATTTGTTGTCTATCAAAACCTATAAATTGGAATCTCTTGTAAGATGCTAAACCCTAAACCTATATATATATATATATATATATATATATATATAATAAGACTAAATGGTAAACACGTACCTTATTTAATCTATCTAATGGCATAGTCATACATTATAAATGTATAATTTCTTGGGGTATGTGATGTTGCTTGAGCATGATCCTATCTGGAATGCAGGCCAACTAACCAAGATAATCAGAGAAAAGAATTAAATTTGACTCGATCGTATAATAGACAATATTTTGGTTAAAGATTTATTTAGCTATAATATGTGAATACCAGCTGGTACCAACAATGATTTATAAAGATTAACTAGTATACGTGAATAGCGAACAATTATTAAAAAAGTTCATAACTATCAAAGGATGATGGCCATTAGCCACATACTCAATCATTTAGGAGTGATCATAAATAAGTTTAACTTGAATTTGAAATAAAATAAAGGCCAAACTAGTCAATTTTAATTAATTAAATTTGAATTGATTTTATCAATTATTTTTTCAGCAATATAAGACAAATTGATTTGATCAACATTGGATTAATTTAATTCAGATTTATCGGGTTTCCTGAAGAAAACAAAATTAAATTTCTCTCTTTTAAAACATAAAAATTAGTGTAAAAAGAAACATAAAAATTACATAATTTTATCCCAAATTTAAATATAAACTTGTTATTTAAAGAATGCAAATGTGTAAATAAAAAAAAAATAATGTAAGAATTCGGATCAAATATTTATGAATAACATAAACCAACATCGACAAACAAATATTCCAAGACTCAAGTGTCGAAAAAACCAAATTATCTAACAAACCAAACTGTTAGATATGATCTCAAAACCAACCTCCACCAATTAACTTCAACTTTTAATTAAAGAAATGTGATTGCTGGAACATCTGTGGGATCACTTTTGCAATATTCGGGTCCCATTATACACGAAATGGGCTTGTTCTAGTATGTCACGTTCTTAGAATAGCACTATAAACTCTTGCTCATGCACTAAGTGTGCTATTATATTGAAGTCATTTCTCAATTATTACTTCAAAAGTACTGATTTATCGTACATCAAGTAGACAATAATACACCAAGTACCTTTCTATATTTGGTACCTTTCATACCATGTTCTATAGCCACAAACACAACCTCATCAAATCTTCAGAAATTCATGCCAAAAATCCTTGACCTTCATTTGGTAACCGTTCCCATATTCCTAGCTTCCACGGTAAGTGCTGAATGAGAATGGTGAAAGCAGGAGAGGAACATGAAAATGTTCCCTCTTTTGTGATTCCTTGATTTCAAACACTATAGACACATGAGGGAAGAAACAACTTGGGTTGTACTTCCCTGTGTTGAAACTTATCCTGTATATCCCTGGACTAACATCATCAACTATGCTCAACAGCTGACCACTGCGGCCGTCTAAATCCGTTTTTGAAGATCCTTGAAGCACCCAACTGCCACCACCTTCGGCCCCAAATGTTGGCCGAGACTGAAAGCCCCTCCACACCTCCAGAAGTACTTCAATACCAGCGGCCGGAGAGCCTCGTGAAACATCCAACACATGAGTGGTAATGGGAGGTCGGGTTCTAGCAGGATGTTGAATTGGTTTTCCTGTTGAACTCTCTGAAGCAGCAGTCACATGGGCGCCGATGATGCTTACACGATCTTCTAGTATTGGGGAAATTTAAAGTCAAGATTGGTTAGAGGTTTTAAACAAGGAAATGTCATGATGTAGAAGTTGGAGAGTTTCAAAAATTCACATCATACACATTTTATAAATTCGCAACCAATAGCACGCCATATGCGTTTCAGATTTCTTATAGAAGAGTTTGATGCAGAAAGTGCGAAGTTACAACTTAAAAGCAGTCAATAATAGGGTCATGCAATAATCAATCATTTGCTACATGTAGAACAGATCATAGTAGTAATCAGACTTCCTAGATCCTTCTTAATTGTTTAGATTAAATAGATGAGGTGTGGGTTTAGGGATCACTTTCAGTGATGGAATATCAGGGACTAAGAATGCGCACCACTAAACAAATATAACATGCCTATTGCAATGTAATGGAATAAAATGAGCTAAGTTTGTATAATAGGGTAGTCCAATTCATTCAGATTTAAGATAGAAGTTTTCATAAAATATCTGTTTTATTGGATTTCTATTCCGCCCTTAGCATGGTTGGTCTGTGTTCAAAGTACATTTTAACTACCCCCACCCCTCCTAATTCCCCTGCCACACAAAAACACACCTCGCAGTGCTGACTTAAGAGTTTCCAGATAACTGGATTTCAGAAGTAACAGCTATTATATCCCATGATTTCAATTACATGAAGTGCATCTTTATTCTATGTCACTGTCAATCAACTTTCAGAAGCTTAGGCTATTGTGTAAATTGTAAAGGCTCGTGAATGGATTTATATCTAACAAGCCTCCTCAAGCAAAGCCTTTAGACTTGAATTAAACTTACACTAAAATCAACCTTTTTATTTAGAATTTTTAAAATATGGATTCGATTTAACTCAACCCTACAAAATTGACTTGTAAGGTGAGGGTTTCCTCCACTTTTATACTATATATTAACTATCTCTAATTGGATATGAGACTTACATTTTTCTCAATACACCCCCTTAAACCTAACACCATTGTACTTGATGCATGAATATAAATGATGGATGACCCTTTTTAATGGATCTAGGACAAACAGGACTTGAATTTTTCCCAATATACTCCCTGATTGCCTCACACCTAACACTATTGGACTTGGTGCATATATAAATAGTAGGTGACCCTTTTATAATGAATCTAAGATAGCTCCGATTCTATCTTAGAAAAGGAGTTTAAGTCTAACTCAACTCTATAAAACTAACTTGTAAAATAAAGGTTGCCCTCACTTATATATTATATCTTAGCCTTATCTTTAGTTGATATAGGACTTAGGTTTTTCTCAATAAGAATAATGAAGCTAACAAGTATCAAGCATGACCACTTGGTCATGGAGACTTAAATTAATGTTAGTTACCAACTACCCCCAAAGCTTAAGATGCTGAGTGAAGACTTATTAATGGTTTTGTATCTAAATATTACAATTCTTCTGCATCATACAAATCTTAGCACCTCACAGAAATTTGCATAACAAGTTCTTTACATATATGCAAACAAATTAGCAACTTAAAAAAAAAAAGTTCAAGTTAACTCCAGAAAACAGGGCATCAAGCAGCAGGATTTAATCATATCGTTTTCTCTATCCTCTATTTCATTCATATAATTAGTGGCACGGGACAATCACATGATTCTGACACATTAGTTAACAGTAAACATTAAATATATATCACTTGAATCTCAGATTTGACTATTGTAGAACTCAACTTATAATATACACAAAATGAATAGATGAAAACCTCAAATATTTGATAATGCTAATTCTAGACAAAAGATCATGACTCATGTGTCATCATGATGGTTGATTCTAAATGCCCATGATATACATTTTAATGTATGAATACAATTATGAGCAAAACCAAATTCAATATAAGAAGGATCGTTAGGAGACACGTAGAGCACAAAGTTACATCTTTCCTAAACAGATCTAAATTTGAAAAAGTTCTTAAAGACTTAAATTGTAACCAAACATAAAACATGACTAAGAATATGAAAGTACCTTCTGCCTTTTTAGCAGTGGAATACTTATCAGCTGTAGAAGAAATGTCTTCTCTACTTGAAAAGAGCTTTGCAAGGCGCAGTTCTGTAATTTTCATTTGCTCCTGAGCAGCAATCTCAAATTCAACAATTGGCCTGTTTGTATAACGTCTCTGCATGGTGTGAAACAAATTAATTAAAATTCAAATGAAAAGCTTATATCAACATCTTCCTATCACTCAAAATCTTTCACTGGTGAAAATTTCAAAAAAAAATTTGGGTTCCTAAACAAGGTAGGAAATTGTAATGAATAATGATTGAATCATTCACATAAGAAACAATATAGGAGATAAAAGGACCCCAAGGAAGAACTATTCCCCACCCTTTCAATAAGAAGCTCACAAGATCTATCATACAAGCTCAACCTTCAAAAATAATTAATCCACCTTTTTAACCTTTAAATAAGAAACAAATATATGTTCATAATATAATAGCTCAACATAAATTCACCCAAATAGACATTAGAAGAACAAAAGAAATAAAGTAAATAAATAAAACAATTGATAATAATAAACTTTAAATTCAAATTTACCTTCAGTTCAGAAAGTATCTCATCAGTACTTCTCCCAGATGCACAAATGAGAAATACAAACCCAAACTTTTCCCTGTACCGAGCATTCCATTCAAATAGTTCCTGCAAATGGACCACATGCAAAAAACTAACTTTTATATATCAACAGTTAACATTTCAGTTGAGGTCCCCTCTCTAACCAAATGTTTGCACCACATCAAAAGCCCGATTTTATCAATGGATAAATGATTCCTAACTTCCTCCACAATAATAATAAAACCAATAGTAAACCATGATGCAGGTCCAGCCAATCAAGGATGCAAAAACCAAAAGCATACGAATTTTTAGGTAAGATATTACAACTCTTTGAAAGAAGGTTCTACCATGCTATTCAATTCAATATCTTACACATGTTATCGTAAGTATTCCGATAGCATAGCCAAACATCAATAAGTTTCAATCCATATATTTCATAGATCAGAGCAAACTACTAATGGTAATTTTGTGAGTAGCAGCATGCAAACCTGTAAGCTAGAACCAGTAGCAGTTGCTAAAGCAGTTGATTGCTCTCCCTTACTCCACCTGCCAAAAGCAGTTCCTAAGACAAGTCAATAGGGGATATACATTTTCTTTTACCCTTTTCATTGCATACATCACAGATAAAGCCACAAGCAAACACCTCGCCTAGATGATGACAACAACTTCACAACATTCACTCATGTTTCTCACATCAATGTAAAAGGGAGGAAGCAACACAGATGGTTAAAAACATGAAACACCGTAACTCAAAATCCCAAATACCCACCAAGAGAAGAAAACACGACCTTTGCACCAATCTCATTTGTTTAATATTAAAATACAAAACAGAACACAACCCAGATGGTTAAAAACAGGAATACTGAACTGACAAACTCCATTACACTATCACACAATTGTAACTGTTGGGTAAACATTGGACCACTCATATTTTGTCTCAGTAAATCAGACTTAAATATCCATCCGAAATTTGAACCATCTGAATATCATCCAACAAGGCTGAAGGCAGAATCCATTTCCTAAATCCCCTGCACCCACTAAGAGAGAAAAACACAACCATTACACCAAACTCATTAGATTCATTAGTTTTATCTGTATGCCCTGTCAATGCAAAAAATAAATAAATAAAAATTACATTATCAATCAATCACAAATCATAGTAGATTCAAAAGTTTAATCTGTATGCCCAATCAATGCAAAAAGCGTTACATTGTAAATCAATCAGAAATCATGGCAGGTATGACTGGTAAGTTAGTTATTACAAAAGTCAACAAACTTATCCATACATGATAATATGTATTTGGATCACAATATAAAATCTCTCTGCCTTGTCAGTACGAAGGCTATTCACTCTAAGTTTCATTTCAAAACACAAAATAGAGAATCACCCAATTGATTAAAAAGAAAAGATTAAACAATTTTTTTCAGCGTAAAGAGTTTTTGTTCTGTCATCCAATTACAAACTATATGTAAATTTGTTGAGTTTTATAAGGACTACTTTAAAAGCCAATCCAACAATGCTTTCTAATTAAAGCAGAAAAAGCAGAAAAAGCACAGCCTCTACACTAAAAACTAAATTTTTGACAGCAAAAGAGAAAAACGAGAGTGACCCAGATGGGGGAAAAGGGTACTGAACTGAGCACTGGCTTGAGAGGCAACAGAGGGAGAGTGGGTTTGACCGATCTGAGGGTGCGCAGAGAAGGCCTGAAGGCAACCGTTGACATCGACGCGGTTGAACCAAACGTCCCTGGCAACGGAAACAGCGTGCTGCAACGAACCGAAAGGAGAGGCTGAAGCCATGTCCTTGGCGAATTTGGTGCTCCCACAGCATGACACAAAGTCCTTCTCCTCCAAACTAAACGCCATTCTGCAAACACTAATCACTCTCTTTGTCACTGGCTTTGTGCTTTGAGGATCTGCGGGGGTGCGGTTTTTTTAGGGAGAGAAGACAAGAAGCTGTGTCAGCACTGGTCCTGTTCCTGCGTTACAAACAAAAAAGCCACGTAAAGAGGTTCTTTAGACAGTTGGAGTGATCCATTTATTTTATTTTATTTTATTTTATCATGATAAGCAAGAAAAAGACACTTTTTATCTACACGATAGTAAGATGAGAAAACAATTATTGTGAATAAGGGAGTTATTAATTAAATTTTGATTTAAATATTATTTTAATTCTTATAATTTTGCTTATTTTATTTTTTAGTCTTAGGATTAAATTGAATTTTTGGTTTTTTTATTTTCGCCAATCTATAACTTTAGTTTTGATATTTAGTTTATTTAATTTTAAAAATATGAAATTTTAATTTTTTCATTAAATTAACCAATGATTTTCCTCCTTAGGAAGAGAAGAAAAAAAGAGAGAAGAAAAGATAAATTAAAATAAAATAGCAAACTGAAAGAAAGAAGGTACGAGAGATTTCTAAAGAATATAATGAAAAAGAGAAAGAGAAAATTTTTCCTTAAACTATGACTATCTATTTTGTTACACATGTTGGCTATAAAATTCATGCACATTTTCATTTTTATTAACATCTGTAAGAGAAAACAAAACATAAAATTTTTTGAGAGAAAGAATCTCATTGTTTGTAGGTGAGAGATAAATTCTTTGAGAGAAAAAATCCAAAAGAGAGTTTAGCCACCAGTATTTTTGGTGAGATTATTATTGTTATTATTATATTTCCATTTTATTTTTAATGGAAGCTATTCATTTTATTCTCTCATTGTGATTACACAAAGTGTGGGAAAAGTTAGATCCAAAGATACAATTTATTCTTTGACCTTGTATTATGTAGTTTTATTTGTTATCTTTCCCAACAAGTGGTATTAAAGCTTAGGCTCATTATATAGTTTAACTGTTGTCATTCACAAAATAAAAGAGTCAACCTCAACAACATCAACAACGATGATTAAGTTAACATCTTCAAACTACTCCATTTGGAAGCCTAGAAAGGAGGATATTCTCTATTACAAAGATTTGTAAGAACCTTTGCTAAATGAAGGGAAGAAACTCGATGCAACGTTTGATGTTGATTGGGCATTAATGAATAAGAACATAGTTGGACAAATTCAAAAATGGATAAACCATAGTGTGTTTCATCATGTGGCATAAGAAACTATCGCATACATGTTGTGGACAAAACTCGAGTTTGTGTACAAGAGAAAGATGACCCAGAATAAAGTTTTTACTATTTGGCGATTGGTGAACCTTAAGTATAAAGAGACCCAAAGTGTTTCCAAACACTTGAGCGATTTTCAAGGATTGGTAAATCAACTCACCATTATGAAGATGGTGTTTGACGATGAATTGCAAGCATTATTACTATTGAGTTCCTTGCCAAATAATTGAGATACACTTGTGGTTTCATTGAGTAACTCAATGGCACAAGGTGTTCTAATATTGGAAATAGTAAAAGATAACATGTTCGATGAAAAATAAATAAGAAAGGAATAAGGAATGTCGATAGAGTTTGAGGTGCTTGTCACAGAGTATCATGGGAGAAGCACCCACAAGAAGTTCAACACTAGAGACAAGTCAAGGGGCAAGTCAAGAGATAAATTCAAAGGAGGTTCAAGGACAAAAAGAGACGTAAAATGTTACTAATGTCATGACAAAGGCCACATGAAGAGAATGCAGGAAGCTCAAAAGAGAGCAACAAGAAAATAGTGATGCGAGTAACATAGCCACTACCATTTTTCATGGAAAAGAGGTAATCTTTGTTTGCAATGATGATCATGTTAATTTGACATCATAAGATACATTTTGGGTCGTGGATTTTGGTGTATCATTTCATGTAACTTCATGAAGGGATTTTTTTCCTCCTATATAATTGGTCATTTTGGTCATGTGAGGATGGGGAATGATAATAGATCCAAGATTGTGGGTAAAGGAGATGTTTTCCTAGAAACAAACACTCGTTGTCACCTAACATTGAAAGATGTGAGACATTTTCTTAATATGTAACTCAATCTAATATCTACAGGTCTATTAGATGAAGAACGTTATACTAGTGTATTTGGGAATAAAAAATGGAAGCTAACAAAGAGTTCCCTAGTGATTGCCCAAAGTAAGAAAACATGGACTCTTTATGTGATAGAAGCCAAAGTCAATAATGGTTGCATTATTGCTCTCAGAGAAGACTCCTTGATCATGTTTAGGCATAAATGACTCAGACATATGAGTGAAAAAGGACTTCAAATTCTAGCCAAAAGAGATACACTTGTAGGTGTGAAAGGATCAAAAACATCACTTAAGCCATGTACACATTGCTTGGTTGGAAAATAGCACAGAGCTTCATTCCACTACAAGGCCCCGCATAGAAGACCAAATATTTTAGATTTGGTGCATTTTGATGCTTGTGGTACAGTGACAACCAATACTCATGAAGGTGCAAGGTATTTTTTTACCATTATTAATGACCACTCTAGGAAGGTTTGGGCATATGCCCCCAAAACAATCGATCATGTGTTTGTAGTATTTAAACAGTTTCATGCTAGTGTTAAGCGAGAAACTGGAATTAAGTTAAAGTGTGTTCGAGCTAACAATAGAGGAAATTTTTTGGGAGCTTTTAGGAATTACTACATGAGTAATGGAATCTAGCATGAACGATCTATTCTAAAGACATCTAAGCACAATGGAGTGGTTGAGAGGATGAATAGAACTATTGTTGAACGAGTGAGAACATTGTTATCTCATGCCAAGTTACCCAAGAGTTTTTAGGGTAAGGCTCTAATGACTGTAGTTGATTTGATCAACTTATCCCCTTCAAATCTGTTGAATGGTGATGTTCCAAACAAGTTTTGGATAGGTAAAAATGTATCCTACAAGCATTTAAAGGTGTTTAGTTGTAGAGAATTTGTTTATGTTCTAAAAGATGAGAGATCAAAACTTGACTTCATGTAAAAGGAATACATCATTTAAGGATATGGAAATTAAAAATTTGGGTACTAACTATGGGATCCTATTGATAAAAGGATTATAAGAAGCAAATATGTTGTATTCTTTAGAGACCAAAATATTGAAATAAGGGTGTTTAAGCCTGTTAGTTTTAGAGAACATCCAATCAACTTAGATCTAGTTCCTCTTCTAGAGCATTACGAGGGGGATGCAATAGAAGATGTTGGAGATGTAGAAAATGAACCATTATGTGATAACAATCCAAATGAAGAAGTAGCTAATGATAATAGGAATGATGGTACCAATGATGATATGATTGGAGACTATGAGGAAGAAGAATAAGATATTCAAGAGCCCTAGTTACGAAGGTCGGTTAGGATGCCTAAACCACAAACCAGATATCTTGCAAGCGAATATTTGCTACTCACTAACGGGGGAGAATTAGAGTCTTATGAAAGAGCTATGTTGGATGACCACAAGGGAGAGTGGTTGAAAGCTATGCAAGAAGAAATACAATCCTTGCATAAAAACTAAACTTATGACTTGGTAGATATACCAAAAGGTAAAATATCACTTAGAAACAAATGGGTGTACAACTTGAAGGCTAACAAGGATAGGTCACAACCTAGATACAAGGCAAGATTAGTCATAAAAGATTTTAGTAAAAAAAAAGGTATTGACTTTGAAAAGATATTTTCACTCGTGGTGAAGATGTCATCCATCTAGGTAGTACTTGGTTTGGTTGCAAGTTTGAATCTATGCATGGAACAATTAAATGTGAAGATTGCATTTTTTTATGGTGATCTAGAAGAAGAAATTTACATGGAACAACCTAAGGGATTTAAATTCAAAGGCAAAGAAGACCTAGTATGTCAACTAAAGAAAAGTTTATACGGACTTAAGCAGGCACCATGTCAATGGTATAAGAAAGTTGATTCCTTCATGATTGAACATGGATACCAAAGGACTAGTTCTGATCATTATGAGTTTGTGAAGAAATTTATTGATGGTGAGTTCATCATACTATTTTTGTATATATGTTGATGATATGTTATTCATAGGACAAAATGATGACAAGATCAACTAGTTGAAGAAGGAAATGAAGAAGTCTTTTGCTATGAAAAACTTGGGACTCTCAAAGCATATTCTTGGTATATCCATCCTTCATGATTGAAAGGAGCAAAAGCTATGGTTATCATAAGAAAAATATACCAAGAAGGTATTGGAGTGATTTCACAAGGAGAAAGTAAAGTCAATTGCTACTCTACTTGCTAATCACTTTATGCTAAGCTCAATGCAAAGTCCTATAAGTGAAATTAAAAAAAAATGTGCAAGGTGCCATATGCCTCAATTGTTGGAAGCTTAATGTATGCAATGGTGTGCATAAAACTGGACATAACACACACAGTTGGTGTTGTAAGCAAATTCTTAGATGAACCAGGAAAAAAGCATTGGAATGCTATAAAATGGATTTTAAGATATCATAGAGGAAATTTCAAAATGAGTTTATGCTTTTGAAGTAGAAGGCCCAAATTTATTAGTTACACAAATGCAGATATTGCAGGAGATATTGATTCTAGGAAATCTACTTCTGGATTCTTGATTACATTTTTAGGGGGAGCAGTATCGTGGCAGTCAAAGTTACAAAAGTGTGTTACTTTTTTTTACCACAAAGGTAGAGTTCATTATAATAACATAAGCTTGCAAAGAAATGTTATGGATGAAGCATTTCTTGCACGAGTTAAGGCATGAACAACAAAAGTATGTCATGCATTGTGATAGTCAGAACACAATCCACATGAGCAAGAATTTGAGTTTTCACTCAAGTTCGAAGCACATTAATGTATGATATCATTGGATATGTGATATATTGGAAACCAAGCAATTATAACTTGAGAAAATCCATATTGATGATAATAACTTAGATATGATGACTAAGTCCTTACCTAAGGATAAGTATGAGTTTTGTAGAAGAGTTGTTGGACTATTGGAGCCCTCCACTTAAATCGAAGGGGGGATATTGATGGGTTTTCCTCTTTAAAAGGAGAGAAAAAGAAAAAGAAGAAGAGATTAATAAAAATAAAATAGCAAATAAAAAGA